TAATACTAATTTACATGAGAGAGAGAGAGAGAGAGAGAGAGAGAGAGAAAGAGAGAGAGAGTGAGAGAGAGAGAGAGAGAGAGAGAGACAGACAGACAGACAGACAGACAGACAGACAGACAGACAGACAGACAGACAGACAGACAGACAGACAGAGAGATTAGGGGGGGGGGGGGAAGAGGTCTGCATTTTGCAAATTTACAACAGCGATTATAGATGTTTAATATGGCAGTCGTCTGTAAACGTCTAAGAGGTAGCCGAACTCATCCCACAACACACAAAGAAGCATCTCTGCGTAAATGTCGCTGTGATACGCTGGTTTGATACCTAACTAATCTGTCGGTAGTATTCGAAACTTTAGACATTCCCCCCCCCCCCCCTCTCTCTTTGTATGTATATTATTAATATGTAATGTTTATTCAAAGAAGTATAGATGAAGCAAAGTGTTTCCTTCATTTTGAATAAAACTGTACAGTATTTAGACTGCATACTGGACGCATATGACTCTTCAGCCATATGTAAACGAAATTCAAGACTGGGGATTCAGAACTTTCCCCATACAGACAAGATCTGGTAGGGTGAAATTCCGGTGGAAAACAAACTGTATGGAATTGTGGAAGAGACAAGCGTCCATCACAGACTTCATAGACGCCTATGGCTTTCACCAATGGCACATAGAAGGTCAAAAATGAAGAAAGAACAAACTAGTCAATGGAAAATTGCTACGTATAATTGTAAACAGCCGTCACATGATGTTGTTCATTTGCCCTGTCTTCTAAAGCAGTGTTCTTCAACCCGTGGGCTGCGGCCCACATGTGTGTCGAGGAAAAAGTCTGGGACGCCCGTAAAAACAGTCATGCCTTATCATTTACTGGTCAGGGTAGCGTTTTTTTTTCCAGGATTGCAATGTGTAGGATTAATACCTCAAGAAAGAAAAATCAAAAGGTGGCGCATCAGCTAAAAATTGCAATTCTTGTGAGATCGCAACAAACTAATAAACTGCTATCTATATTTGTTTTGTTTGTTTCTGTTTTTGTTAGCAGTCAGTTTGGCCGCGAAACAAGTTCTCATGTTTTGTTGGGCCACGAGTGTTAAGAGACTGAGGAACTCTGATGTAAAGTTCGTGCAACAAAACTGCATTTGAGAGATACACTATGGGATCACAATCTTTGCCCCTGTACTTTCACGGCTCTTGTTTGTCCGTGTATTCGAATGCAATTGGATTTTAATTTAAATGAAGACGTGTACTGTTTCTCTAGAAAAGCTCTCATTCATTCATTCATTCATTCATTCATTCATTTAGTCATTCATTCATTCATTCATTCATTCATTCATTCATTCATTCATTCATTCATTCATTCATGCACTCATTGTCTTCTGTGCCATTATATGCCACATATGGCTCGAAGTCTATTTCTCAATTCCGTTTCTATAATGTGCAATCACTTAGAGGTACTTACTTACATACTTATTTAGTCGCTCCTTTTCTACCTTGGATGGGACGTTCTGGGCATTTTGCAAGCAACGTGTCCACATTACAGCTAATAATACGCGAACTGGGAGTAAAGATCGGCACAGCGAAGCATGAGAAGCACACCGGCCGCACATAGGACTGGCACTATAGGACTGACGCTGATGTATATGTGGAATCTGAGCGCATGTGGATGTGTCCGAAGTGCTGTGAAGATAATCTTACTCATAACTTATAACACAACATAGCTAACCTGCATAAATGGAGTACCAAATACAGCACAAACTGCGACTAGACGTTGTTGCGGTCGAGGTGATCAGAAGAGCAAGAAGCAGGACCTTATATCTCCTGAAACGGCAAAAGAGGAAGGGAGGAAGAGGAGAAAAAGAAACCGTTGACAAAAGCATGCACTTAGATTAACAGAAGACGCAACATAGCAGAGTGCGTATAGTAAGCCAAAAATAACTGTAATCAACTATTGCCCGCCATGCAGGAACACCTGCTGCCGGCACATCATGAACAGCTGCAACATCGTGTCATCTGATCTCTTAAGGTTGCGCCAAAATTTGTTAGCGCATAAGGGCACTAATTAGAATGATTACAGACTTGGCTCTCAGGGTTGCCAGTATGAGTTCAGATCTCAAGTTGCAGTAGACAGTGTTTCCGCATAGCTTTACTTGAAACTTCTTCTTCTGCGTGTTCACCGGCTAGAAACTCCTGCGGAAAGTTCTGGAAAAGACACTTGATAGGTACACTGGCCAACTGTACGTCAGTCACTTGTGTATGCCAGCGAGGAGTGACGAGGGGTTCTATAAGGCTCTGAGGAAAGGCAAGACGGACGTTTAATCAGAATGCTACTAGCATAATTAGTATCGGAACTCTGTAATTGCTGCTGAAGATGGGGACGGAGCGCTTCTGTGAATGCCCCGACAGCTGTGATGTCTTTTCTTGAATCAACTGAACTCAAGAGCCAATGTTAATTATAACAGAATATTATATGTACTATGTATGTGTGTGTGCATATATATATATATATATATATATATATATATATATATATATATATATATATATATATATATATATATATATATATATATATAAACACACACACACACACAACATACAAATAAAATAAACTATCAATTGATCGGCACCACGTTACAAGGAGCGCTTAGATGGTCATACTATTAGTACACATATTTCAATAGTAAGGAGAACACGCCATTTGGAGGTGACGGTTTCGATTCCCGGCACGGTAATTCTAGCTTTCTATTTCTATGTTGTCTAGTGTGCCCTTCTATCTTTGTACTTCATTCTATGAGTGCCAATCAATACACTGTCGGCTTGTTTATTATATATATATTATATATACTATATAATATATGTATATAATATTTCTACGGCCTCAAGGTTTCCCCCTCTGTTTATTTATTTTGAAAAAAAAAAACATGGTTTCAACGCGGATTTGAACACGAGAATATTTTTGGTGGGGTGGGGGCAGAAGGTGGCAAGTAATGGACAAGCTACTGCACCCTTGACCATACTTGAACTGGTTGGTGAACCAAGAAATAACAACAGGAATCAACGTTTTCTTCTCCTTTGAGATCAAATTCTGGGTTCGATGATAAATAGCCCGTAAAGTGAGCATGCAATCCAAAGGATTCGGTGCGATAACTGCGACATTCACTGCAAGAAAGTAGTTTGTCAATTATTCTTTCTTTATCTTATACGTTTGCTCTTAAAGGAGTGAGTGACATTTTGCCTGGTGGTGGGTTTACAGCTGTATCTGTGCCTTTTGGCCAAGCAAATTCGATTTTCAACCATTTGCTTAGGGGAAAGGGGTTGGATGGGGGGGGGGGGCGGTGGGGGGGGGGGGTCTATTTTGATTTATAATTAGGCCTCAGAAACCTACACAGGGAAATTGTACTTTTATTGAGCTTGTGGATTTATTAGAAATGTGGAGAGGACATGTGTTTGAGGATGGCGGTGTAAAGGTTGAATCAGCTACGCATTCATACCAAGCAACTCGCCAGGCGTTCGTTAAATTCACATACAATTCCTAATAAGCACCCCCCCCCCACCCCCCACCCCCCCCCCCACAGACACACAAACCCAACCCCACTTTTAAAATCAAGAAATGGGTTAGTTCGACTTTAATCCCTCCAGAGCCCGCCCGTATACACGCTAGCTCACTTGGTAGTTCCTGAGCCGCGCGTCCTTTGAACACTGCTACGGTGGTGTTCCGCAATGCCGTTGATATAGCGTGTTGTATATTTCAGCACGCCAGGTCTTTAAACACTCCAAAAAACATCGACAAACTGGGTCTAACACAAACCCCCTTTAGAGAATGATGAAACCTATGTCCCAGACATGCTTTTTCTCAGAAGAAAAACTAAATGCAAGCCAAGCCAGAAAACAAACAGAGCGGACACACCCGTAAACCCCATGAAAGTAGACCAGTCCAACAAAGTTATCTATGTAACGTGACCTACTTTGTTTGGGGAGACTAACGTCGAACTAAATCAGAAATGGACAAGACTCAGTTCAAAAGACCGAGAAAGATGGTGAGTTTTGTGTGCTTGCGCTCCCGTCCATACACCTAAATGACCCTAACAGGTTAAAGGTCATGTTATGTTTCATCAGTCAGCAGACTCTGTTGTGTTGTTTCGACAAGGATGTGAGCTCGGAGCTGTTCGGCAAACAATGATAAAATGTTGACCCAAGACCATCTCCATCTGATGGTCTGTCTTGGTAAAACGCAGTCAGGTAGTAGTCACAGGCATCGTTTCAAAGGTTCCATAGCTGAGTTTTTTTTTTTAATTTTCTCCAGTAGATGCACGTGTGTTGGTGCTACATGCGTCCAAAATATCTGGTTGTTCGCCCATCTGTTGACTTCAGTCTTGTCTCACAACCCGAGTTTTGCGTACACATTCGTTTAAGATATCGGACCTATCTATATGTAGATTGTTGGTTCCTTGCCTCTCAGGAAAATGCACTCCGACCTCCAAGAAAGCCACCTATTAGTCGACTCTTACGACATGCTTTTAGTGGAGGCAGTGGGTCTTTTCTTGTTTTCCCTATAATAGGGCTCCGAAACCCACACAGGTAAGTGTTTAAGAATCGTTTTCACAGTGCTCGAGACATTCTTCAAAGCGCTACGTCCCCATCTTCAGGAACAAACGAAGAGTTCCAGCTTCGATAGTACCATTAACACTCTGATTGTATATCCGTCTTACTTGCTCCGGTCTAGGTTCAATCGACCCTACAAGAGGCCTACAACATCTAGCTTGTCCCGCATCAGTTCCCCACCAAATGGAGGAGAATTAGCCAGTCTGTCTGCCTCTTCATTTCCTAATAGACCGACCTATCCTGGAAAAAAATAACCAAAGGACACAACCGGGACCTCTGAAGCGATGCTTGCCACTCGTCAAGGAGCATAAGAGCATACAGGTTCTCCACCTCTCTAAAATTGATCTGTGAATCTGTTACAACTATTACATGTGTGTACAGCTGATTCTCAAGCCAGCTGTAGGCAGTGACAAGAGAGGCTATGGAAAGGTCAACCACCAAAGGATTGCCCTGACTGAGAACTCTGTTGTTGAGAAGGAACTGGGCAAGAGGGACATCATTTGTGTAGAGGACCTTATCCATGAGATCATGACTGTAGGCCCTAACTTCAAGTATGCCTCTAACTTCCTCTGGCCATTCAAGCTGAACTCTTCCCTGGGAGGTTGGCACCACAAGTACAGACATTACAACGATGGTGGTGATTACGGTTTCAGGGACACCAAGATTGATGCCCTGGTTAGACAAATGCTGTAACCGCACTGGTTGAATGAGCCGATTTGAGACCAGCAGTTATTGAAATAAATTCATTACAAATTAAAAAAAAAAAAAAAAAAAGATTGCTTCCACCCGCGTTCTCAAACTATTTAAGCACAAACAAACATAACGTAGAAAGCTTTGTTACGGAAGCAAGCTTATTGGTCAGTCTTGTGTGCTACGACATGTTTCAAGTCACCCTAACTCAGAAAATCTCATAAATAAATTCTAACCTAATTCAGAATTTCCGCTACTGATTGTAGAAATTAACATCGCTCCTGAGCTCTCCTAAAGTCCCTTCCTTTAAGAGCCAATAACCCTGTTTGCGCTTAGCAAACACAATCTCTTTCTCTGTTTCTTTCTGTTTTCATTGACATCAGATACTGCTTTCATTGATCTGCTCTTCACGAACCCTGTTTTGTGTCTTACATGTTAAAATGGTCTTTACTGCCCGGGTTTATGGCATTTTTGTGACATAATGTGATGCCGCATGGGTAGTTAAATCACCACAAAATGAGCAACTTGGGATTACTTTTTTTCCTGCCTCAACAGAACACATCCCCCCTACCCCCTCGCCCCCTTCCTCACCCCCCCCAAAAAAAAATCACCCTAACGAGGATTGGAATATGTAACGTAAAGTTATGGACCCTTTTCCTCGCCTTCATGTGTATTGGGCATTAAGGCTATATTTTATAGACCCACCAACACATGGTGGGCGATGTAGTCAGCATCACGCCGGCAGTCTTTACTTCCCAGGACTGTACCTTGCACCACTCAAGGTTTAGTCGACCAGGAAATCAAGGTCATTTTTTAAGAAGAAACAAATCCAGTTCCGGAATTCAATATGGGTCCCCAGAAAGAGAGGACAAGTGTTACTAACCGTTGTGCCAGCGATTCCTCTTTAATGGTTAAGGTTAGTTGCGTATCCTTTACAGGACGTTGCAGAACCAACCACAACAGCCCCCGGCTGTTGTGTGGTTTTTCTAGGCAAATTTACGTCCAGTAGTTTGCCATTGCTTTCCTGATACCACTGTCGAAACCAACGCAAGGCGCATGGCCTGCAGCTGGGATCGAACCCGGCATCCCGGCATTACGAAGCGTTCGCATCGACTTAGCCACAGATCCGACTTAATAGTTAAGAGGAGGCCAAAATTGGACTCTTGATATGTGCGTGTGAGTGTGTGTGCGTGTGAGTGTGTGTGTTTGTAAACGTGTGTGGCCTCTCTTACTGTTAAAAGACGGTCGAACAGTTAAGTACGTTGGTCTCATTTTGGAGTTTAAGGTTCACATTTTAATCATTAACTCGTTCGATCACATGATACGCATTGTGCGTTCACGGGTAAATTACTAGGGGTCCGATCAGCGCGTGCCGCGTTCCTGTGTTTAACTGACCACTGACCAGTAAAGAAACACGAAATCGACAATCTGAAGGTTACGTTCTTTTTCCTCAACCATTTATGTTTGTTTCTATGTAGGATTTGTGTATGTTACATATCATTTGAAATTGTTTGGTCTGTTTTAATGTGCTGCACTTATTAACATTGCCTTGGAACCCACAGGGGCAAAGGAATAAAGGAAGGCCAAAAAAACACAGAGAAGAGAGCTGGATATTGGAGTTAGAAGATGGAGAGGACATGGGGAGAGCGCCGTGTAATGGCGAAGGACATGGCGTGAGTTGGTTGGGGGCCTATTCTCCATTGGGGGATAGAAAGGCAGAAGAAGAAGAAGACTTATTAACAGTTAAAAATCTCGCTCTCATGGGGGCTGCCTGGTATCGAAGCATGGTGTCCGCCTCGAGTGCTAGAGGTTCCGGGTTCAATCCCCGGTAAAGATGGCGGCAGAAAAATATCCAGCTGAGCCGCGGTCACGGGTCAATGCGCACGGGTCAATACGCACGGGTCAATGCGCACGGGTCATCGCGGCAAAACTAGGATTAGTCTCTGTTGACAATTTCAAGAAACAGAACAAACTCGCCGCCGAGGGTCTCCTTAAGCGCGGCGCGGATGGGGCTAAACTAGATGGCTAGGACCCACGAGCAGCAGCTTCCGCATCTCCTGCAGCTTTGCTCGTGAGTCCTAGCCATCTAGTTTAGCCCCAATCCACGCCGCGTGAGCGGCGTGGGAGCTACTCTCAGCGGTGGCAGTAGTCGCCGGAAAACCGCCGATTAAGTCGCTGGAAGTTTGAAATTGACACGTGAGTGAGGCCCTGTTTTTGGTCGACATCTTTTGCACCCGTTAGTCGGGGGATAGCCGGTCTGTGGATGCTACTAAAAAGAAAGGTGCGATATCAATGCGGTACGAGCCGCGCTTTGTTCCGATCTTACTTTGCCGAGTTTCAATGGCGTAATAGCCACAAACAGCAGATTCTCGGGCACTATTTACAACTTCTGTGCCACAATTTCCAGATATAAAGGTATACAATTATCGGTAAGTAGTCGATTTCATATGACATTTTTCATTCCTCATTAGTTTTCGTTCCTTTTTAGTTTCCACTTCACTTTTTAACTGTTTAAAACACTTGACCCGTGACCGCGGCTCGGCTGGATATTTTGCCGCCGCCATCTTTGCCGACCGTTAGTCGGAGGAAAGCCCAACAAGTTATGTAGCCAAGTGTGTATGTCTATTCTTTACTCTCTTCCCATCACATCATTCAACTGCCACCAACTTCGTCATTGTCCACCTAATGATAAAATATCATTATTGTCTTCTTCTTCTTCTCTACGTCCTCTTTTACCGCTTCGAGTGTAGATATAAGGTTCTGCTTCATGCTTGCAATAATTTGTTACCCAAAAAATAAATAGACAAACTTTGAATATCTAAGCTCTGTTAATAAATATAAATGGGAACTCTTGACAGAAATCAAAAGGAGGATAGCCATAGCAAGGCAAAGATCAAACAGCATTTAAAGTGTGTGGTTAAATACCAGCGATGAAATCAAAGTGAGAGCATGCATCTTCCGTGTAGCAACATACAGATATAAATCATGAACTATCTCCAAGTCCCTAAAAGAAAGAAAAAAGGGACTTTTGAGCTCAAATGTTATACAAAGATTCACAGAGTACTATGGACAAAGAAGAGAAGAAATATTGACATTTTTAAAGATCTGTGAACATCAAGGAAGATTGGCTAATAAACAGCAACTTGTCTCGGAAGCTGAAATAATGAAGTCAGATCAAGCGTCATGGCGGATTGTTTTTAAAAAAAGGGTAGGGGTTAAAGGTAAAGTCGGTAGATGTGAACCAGCGTCATTGCACACGGTTATAAACTATAAGTGCTCTGCCACCAGTACGGACAGCTGATAAGAATTGTCCGCCTGTGTCGCCGTCCGCACGTAACTCTGTAGCTACAGCGACGTTCCTCCATTTACCCCAGAGTGTCAACTCTGGTACCCATTTCCTAGAGGCTTTGTGAACCCCGGGAGCCGCCCAGGTTCGAACACAGACCGTGGGCTGCAGCGAGTCGCAGCTGGATTTGAAAGCAAGCCTCTTATGGACTGCGCTAACACGGCCCCGTAGGGATAGAGGTTGACCAGCATGATGATAGGCACAGGATATAAGCGACATGAGGCGGGAGAGCTGGCAGGAGGCCAAGTTTCTTTCAAGCAGACAGCGATGAGAGCGACGTTCTGCAAAAGGACCTGCTATATGATGATGATGAATAATGTGTTATACTAACATTGTATTTCCTGTCTTATTATAAATGCTTTAAAAAAAATACTATTTATAAAACAATAAACAAAAAATCGTCTTGTATTCAAGATCAGTTTGCATATTTACTGTTAAAGATCGTTTTGTTCTTCGTTTAGTTCACCGGCTGTAAACTCCGGCGTAGCGTTCCGGTTATTACTTCTGAACTTTAGTCTTTTTCCAGAATCTAAGTTTTGCGTGCACTTCTATTTTAAAGATCTGGCTTATTTTTAAGCAGACTGTTGGTTCCTCGCCTCTCATGTAGATGAAGTCTATCTTCGGAGGAACCTGGGGCTCTCTTTGCCCCCTCCCCGCCGCCCCCGTGAAAATTTGCAAGGGGAACTAAAGGATCTTTTAAAGTTTTTCTGTATATATTTATATAAATAAATTGGCAGAGCACATACCCAAATGGCTATATACACCGCTCATTGATTCTTCAAGGTTATCGAGAACAGTCAAGAGAAAAGGACCCATTTCTTCCATATGACGTCATCTACCTAATTCCGGACACATAATTGACACAGACAGTGCTTTCCGTGTAGTTTATCACACTCCGAACAGGAGACTGTTGTAAATGGCCGAAGCTTTAACAATTAAAATCAACAACTGTTTTCTTTGTAAGCAGACGGAATTTATAGAAAACTTGAAGTTACCCTGGTAACTCACGTGACTACTGTGAGCTTCCGGCGGCTAAAACACACCACGATGTGTCGTAAGAAACTATTCGCATTTCAGTTGGATTTTTTCAGTTTTTGTGCATCGTTTTATGTTTGATGTAACTCTGTATTAATGCCCCTCACGAGATACAGCGAAATATGCCTGGCAATAAAATTTGCAATGTATTGTTTGTGTCCGCATTATTTAAATTTATTACCGGAAAACCTTGTTCTGTATAAATTTTCTATTATTTCAATCTTATATTATTATATATTTTTTGTCATTCAAAAGATAATAACAATAATAATAATAATAAGTGCACATTTCAACAATCCGCATCCGCCCCAAAAACATTATAAGACACCCCTCCCCACCCGCAATAATTTCTTTGTGGCGTCGCCGCTGCAGTTTCCTATGCAACCGTACACTGCCATGCTCGAATGGTTATCATCTGGTTGATTGCAACGTTTAGCGGGACAAAGCAAGAGAAATCAGAAAGTCGGCTTGAATTTCAAGGCAAATCAAATATGGAAAGTAAATTTCACGCGTTAGATCAGAAGAGGGATCAACTTAAAAACACTAGTCCTTGAACCACTAAGTTTTACCATAGTTAATGATAGAAAGACTTCACAGACCCGCAGTAATTGGATGAAATTGT